AAATACGCAACTTAAAAAACATAAAATTACCAGACACATTGGGTGTATTTGCACAAAGGATCAGTGTCAGATCAGGATCGTTGCTGCAGCCTGAGTTTTAATTTGTATCAAAATCAGAAAGGCAATCTGTGGTATTGAACATCACTAGATTCCAAGGTATTCTCAGGCCAGCCTCTCCAGCTTGCCTTGGGTCTTCCCCAGGATCACCTCCTAGTTGGACATGCTCACACACTTCCCCATGGAGGCGTCCTTTTTTATTGTGTTGAGTAAAATGATCCAGATTCCAGAAAAGAGGTGGAATTGCCATCACTTATGAACAACTTTGTCAGTCTTGATTGGTAAGTCTTCTGCACAGGATCAAGTGAGTTTCCCCACAGTCCACAGACTGGCTCTGAGCTGCTTCCATCCAGGCTAATGAGTCAGTTTTATCAGTGACAGATCAGTGAATGATCATAAGTGTTTGTCATGTGAAATCAGACAAATGAGTCAATACTTTCCACTTTCAACAAAAATAATAAAAATATTTTACATATCACTTTCATTATACTACCAAGCTAGAGGTGTTTTAGCATTTTTAAATTCAAATTTTAATAAAAAATAGATTTAGTAGCTATATTTGAGATGTTTGATCCAGTATTGTAAAACTGATTGTTTTCATGGACGTCCTGATGCATCTCAGTAATCCAGGTAAAAAATCAAAAGGAAAAAGAATTGTATAGGTCCTCTGGACGGGTTCTTCTTTAATGAAACGTTTCGTCTCTCTTCCAAGAGACTTCTTCAGTCTGAGAGTTTCAGGCAAAATTCAGGCTTTTGAGTCCTGCCTCCAGGTGACTGATACTCACATCACATGGCTATCGTTCACAGGTGACTGATACTCACATCACATGGCCATCGTTCACACCTAATTAATACCTATTGTTAACAGGGGGTGGAGTGATACTGCCAATGGCAGCGCTGTAGGAGGGGGACAGCTGAAAACGGAGGCCCCCACCTCTGTTTAATGATGGACGGTCTTTCTTCACAAAAATGGCTTCTTTTACTCCTCTCTCAAACCAACGTTCCTCCCTATCATTCTCATTCTTGTCCTATGTTCTCATTCTTGATAGGGCGGAACGTTGGTTTGAGAGAGGAGTAAAAGAAGCCATTTTTGTGAAGAAAGACCGTCCATCATTAAACAGAGGTGGGGGCCTCCGTTTTCAGCTGTCCCCCTCCTACAGCGCTGCCATTGGCAGTATCACTCCACCCCCTGTTAACAATAGGTATTAATTAGGTGTGAACGATGGCCATGTGATGTGAGTATCAGTCACCTGGAGGCAGGACTCAAAAGCCTGAATTTTGCCTGAAACTCTCAGACTGAAGAAGTCTCTTGGAAGAGAGACAAAACGTTTCATTAAAGAAGAACCCGTCCAGAGGACCTATACAATTTTTTTTCCTTTTGTTTTCATGGACCTTTTTGTTTGACAAAATCCCAACTTACATACAATATGCTTGTTTGTTTCCCAGTGTTTCATCCAGATGTTCTGGCTTCTTCCAGGAGTTGAGTTAATTAGTGATTCTAAAATTGGCAGATGGTGTGTGTCTGTCTCTCTGTGTTTGCTGGCTGATTGACTGGTAATAGATCCGTCTCTCGCTCAGTAGCAGCTGGAAGAGGCTCCAGTCATGATAACCCTGCACTGAGCAAACAATTTGGATGAAAAAGAAATTAATCTGCTTAGTTATACAGTAGAAGTGACTGTGCCAAGTCCTCTGACTCAACTCTAGATCCATACAGACATCTTTAATTTGTATTAAATCATTTAATAAAGACTGTGGGAGGGAGTTAGAGCTTCTTTATGACAGTGGGCAATATAGTCTGTGTGTGTGTGAGTGTGCAAGCAGTGTCCACTTTTCTATCTTTCAGCCAAATATCTGTGGGGTTTTGATGAAACTCTCAGAAGCTTCTCATTAAGGCTCAGTTCAGGGGMTGCAGCCCACGTAGTGCACATTTGTTATGTCATTGCACCGCTCCGTATGTCCCATTTCATGGGCTCCTCCTTATGAGGCCAACAAAACCTTGAAAATGTAAGGCTGCATCTGAGTATCCTTCACAGTCCATGGAATCCCAAGATTCATTGGGCCATCAGCAAACTAAACAGAAAAAAATCAACAGCATTTGGAAATTTATCGTGAACCAGAGAATTTGTTTTCAGATGTATGTTTGCTTATAGAGCTCATCCAGTGTCATTGAATTAAAAAATAATAATGCGAGGCCACAAGCAATTATCTCGATGTCTAGACAACTAGTAGCCATGAGGCAGTAATGCATGATCTTGCATTACATTTTTTTACGTGCTTCATATTTAGCAACTTAGCTGATTAAATAATTTGCCACAATGAGATGTTAAATAAAATTCAATTACAAGTACTGATCCTGGAGCTAAACCCATGGCCTAGGTGGGCTGCAGTTTCAGTGGGTTGCAATGCATGTACCCATGAATTGAGACACAGACTWTAACTGATTTCATCAAGCCAAATCAAGATGGCCACTACAGTTTATTGACCTTGGAAAACAAAACGTTGGCTGTGGTTTTGTCAGTTTTACAGATTTAAGCTAAATTTAAGCATGGTAGTAACACTTACTTTCAAGTGCCTAGCTCATAGAGATTTTATGATTTGACTAAAAGGGTCATTTTTTTCACGCAAAATAATCTTAATCTGACATGAAATGTGGGTGACTATGTATATCCTTTAAAAATGCTAGGCCTTAACTTCACTGAAAAGTTGTAAATGATGTAAAAAGTCTAAATTTGGAATAACATTATCGTGCCACAAATTGCCTCACTATTAAACTGCAAACTTGAAGAAGTCTTTTTGAGTTGTTCAGTAGCTGGGTGAATAATATCAGTGTTGACTTTGTGAGCCTGCCTGACCCAGAGGCTGAAGCAGCCAAATGGAATTCATCCATCTTTATTTTTACGTGTGCTCTTCCTGCCGTGACATTTCAGAAGCCACTAAATGAAAAGACCTGCACAGATTATGCCCGGTGACAGGTCACTCGTGCTGAGTAGCATTTAAAACAAGATCTACTTTTCCAAAAGCAATTTTCTACCTGCCCAAGCAAAATGTTTTTCCTCCAACATTAGAAAACCAAGCTGATGTAGAGGCCTGTAAAAGACACGATTTTCCTCGGCTTTGGGGTGAAGCACATATTCCAGATCTGGCTGCATGCTGGCCAGCCATCGACTCTTCATTCATCCTCAGTCCCTGGCAGACTTTGCAGCCTCCTATTTGTGAGCAGCTGGACCCTTTCATTATTTACACTTGAAAATATAATGACTTCATGTGTGCGCAGCTGCAATATTTGCATCCACGCGACACACTGCTAAATCTGTGTGACAAAAYGGATCCTCCTGCATCATTTACATGCTAACGTATTCGGGTGTTTACTTCTTTCTCGTGTGATTAAATGGAAAACTAATCGAGTCTTGAAGTGACAGTTTATAGGGAAGCTGAAGGTCAGGTTCTTCTAAGGCAGATGAGAGTGCCATGACAGGTACAGATGGATGCTTGTGATGTCTGTTTTGTTAGAACAGTAAAACACATTTTGTAGAGTTGGCAGCGTTGGTGCCATTCAGGGAGATTGCTGGCAGTGTTCCTCCCTTTGAGGCTTCAACTCCACCGGTGGAGCAAAGTCGAAAGGCTGGATGGAGATACTTATTGGAAATGTGAACACATCAGACAATATCACTCTAAGAAATTAAAGGTGTGTTTATGTGGAATTTAATTTTTTCAGTTATTTGCATTAAAGTAACATGAACACTGAAGCAACAAATCATTAAATCCAACTTAACCATCCATCCATTATCTATACCTGCTTCTCTTCCTTTCAGGGTCACAGTGGTCACCGGTGCCCGTAGCAGCCACAGAGTGAGGGGTGGGGTACACCCTGGACAGGTCCAAGTCCATCACAGCCAACCTAACCACTTTGCTTCAAAAGTACCTTTATAATAAAACTGTCCCAAAGTGCTTTCTGTAATTACCCACACACATATTACTTCTGAAGCCAGTGGATATTGTTTTTGAGATATTTTGCTCTGTGCGATTTAGAAAAACTTCCATGTCTTTTCATTAAAATAGATAAGTTTAGTGAAATCAGTTATGCTTTTAAATTAAATTTTCAAAAAAATGGCAATGGCCAACCATAGATACTGTATTTGCCGGATCTTTAACAGACCTTAAAATTGTCTGTCTGTTAGCAAAATATYGCATAAAGCACTGGATAGATTTTGAAACATCTCTCAGGAAGTAATCATTGAATCCACATAGAAAAGTGATTACAATGTGGAGTTAATCCAATTCAAGATGGTCACTAMAGCTCACAAACTTCAGAAATCACAAAAATTCATCTAAGTCAGTCAGTTTTACAGATGCTGAACTAAGTGTGGTAGTAGATGAGAGTCTTCCTCACATTTTCTTCAACTGGTAACAGATCATGCAAAATCTTTGCTTAAAACTTTAAAACCAATTATTGGCTTCAACTGACTGTCTGTTAGCAAAATATCTCATGAACCAGTGGGCAGACGTTAATGAAATTCTCAACAGTAATCACTGAATGTACATCTACAACTGTAACTTTTAAAGTGAACCCAATCTGAGATGGCCACCCCAGCTGATTGGCATCTGCAAAAACAAAAATAGCTAYAACTCAGTTTAGTTTACAGATGTGTGTCTAAACCTTGGGGTGGTGGTAGATAGGAGTTAACCCAAACAAAGACTCTGAGGGTTAACAGATTTTATAACGTCTATGTTATGTTCTCAGTTAGCGATATCAGCTGTAAAAGAAAGCCTATAGATGAAGGTAATTCCCTAACACTCACATAGTTTAAAAAAAACAGCAATTAAACCAGGTTCTCATTTTTGGTTTGGGTGTGATTATCAGCGACCCCACATCTGCTCGCCCCCTTTCTGAAGGGGGCCCCTGCAGGCTTCATCTCTCAAGAGGAAGACGGCTGACAAAGAGCTGAGAATAAAAGAGTAGAAGATGTTTTATTTAACAGATTTAGCAAACAACACTCCACACACATTTACAGTCTTTTGCTGCGATAAAATCTGCTAGAAGATCTTGTAGAAGAGAAACKACAAAACTTATTGGCCAAAACTCTGCCTTCAAGTTACAACACTGAATACTAATGTGTTTTTTGTTTGTTTTTCTTCTTGTTATGGACAGCTCACACAGTCAGCACTGAGTCAGATTATGACTGAAACAATGACATGCAGGGTCAGGATGATGGGTTTTGTCAGCTATAGAGCAGTGAAGAAATGTCAGATTGCATGATGTTCTCACGTTGAGCCTCCATGTTGCAGTTTGTTTCTTTTTTCCTCTTGAAACACTCAGAACTCTGTGCGTAAAATCTAATTTTGGCGCATTTCCCGTCCGTYTCTTCCTCCCCATAGATACCACACTTTAAAAAGACATTCCTCCTTTAGATTATTATATATGTATATATTTACAGTGAAGTGAACAGACTGAGCAGCTGAGTGTTATTCCCGGCAGAAGACATATTCAGTGTAGCTGGTCCAGATTTTGTCCTCGGTTGGATCGTTGCTGGTGTACGCGCAGGTGCCCGTGGAGCTGCAGGCCACCATGTGGAAACCCGCCTCTGTTAGCTTGTCAAATGCCTGCTCCAGAAAATTATACTTCAGGTAGTAGCGGGAGGTGTACCTCTCCGGGGGTCTGTCGGGGTCCCTGCTCTCGTTCAACGTGTCTCCGAACACCTCCTTCGCCAGGGACGTCTTCCCGCAGACGGTGATGCGCGCCACCCTCCTGAACTTGGCGTCCGTTTGGATGTCTCTGCCAATGGTGTAGGAGCCGCGGTAGCCCACGGTGATGTATCCGGACCTCCTGGAGTCCAGGGACGGGGAGCGCATGGCCCCGATGACGGACACGGTGCGTAAAGAGGTATCTGGCTGCGGCGCGCCGTCCTCCGTGTCGCTCTGGCTGATCTCCTCGCTGATCGAGTTGTCCTTACTCACCCGCGGGCTGAGCCGCTTGGACAGCTCCCGCAACAGGAAGAAGTCCGCCTCCCTCTGCAGCCGGCTTTTCTCCGGGAAGTAGTCCGGGAGGACCAGGTTCAGGTCCCGGAGGTAGTCGAGGATGTAGCGGAACAGGAAGCCGTCCCTGTCCAGGAAGAAGCGCCCCTTGCTGTCTCTCGCCAGCTCCTTGGGGGACTTCTTGCTGAACATGTTCCACAGGAGCGAGTCGGGCACGGCGATCAGAGTTTTGTGCCGGGTCACGTAAACCTGCCCGCCGACGTTCAGCTCGATGATCTCTGAGAACAGAGAGCCCAGCTCCCCGCAGCCGGACCCCGCGCGCTCCGTGTCGGCCAGTGCCATGGTCTCTGAGGCGCTGAGCTGATGGAGGATCAGTGGGAACGCTGAGGCACCTGTGTGCCAGCTGCTTTGCTTATGAAGCCTGGGCTTAGGACGTGCGTGTGCGCGCGTGCACACCAGGGTGACTGCTGAATTAACATTTAACTATTGAGCTGCTGCCGCGTGTTTGTGCAGCTCTTTGTCTCTCTGCTCCAAACAAACACAAGCAACAAACAACCACCTCTACCTCTCAGCTTTACCCAAAATAAATAATAAAAAAGGACAAGTTTCCTCTTCATATCTGTCTCAGAGCATCAAGTCCTCCCTGATTATTGAATTAATCCAATTATTGGTTCTGTTTTCTAAGGAACTGTTGCCTGAAGTCATTGTTTAGATGGAATGCTCAGAAAATATGGAAAGAGTGACACCCGTTGCAGCTACACTGAAAATGCAGCCAGAAGCGCCCGCACACACACACACACACACACACACACACACACACACACACACACACACACACACAC